ATGGAGGAACCAAAAAAAGAACTGTATATATGCAGCTGGATCAATCGTCTCTCTTGTTAAAGAGAAATTTTCACATAACTTGGAACCTCTGGTTAAGATGTTCGAAAAGAGTTAATGCAAAAGTGCATTTTTTAAACAGATTTCACAAAATATATGACATTCATACATGTATTCTTTAGGTGAAATAAATCCAACATTCATACACAAAACGTTTTTCTTTTAACACAATCACTAATGGCACAATTATTGCCATCACCCTATAAAATGTCTAAAGAACATCTATACCCAAATTTAATCAACTGCTGCTCTTGAAACACATGTAAAAGTCTAATAAGTTAACCAGTAATTTTTTATCCAGCTGTTAAATCACTAATTAGTAGTTATTGAAGATGAAAAATGTAGAAAGTTCATGTGAAAATAACTTTTAAGCATTATACTTCAGTCATTTTTCAAATGGTATTAAATAGATATATCCTCAAAATGTCACACAATACCCCATTATGATGAAAACAAAAAGATTGCAAATAGAAAACGTTAAAGTCACACATATGTAAGTATTTACAGCCTTTGCCAAAACTATTTGCTCAATCTTTGACAAAAACTACAACCTCATGTCTTATTATATATGATGCAATGAGCTATCGTCTGTTATGACTCACATGTTTTGGTTCATTTTTCCTTTCTCAGAGCAAATCTACTGAAATGTTTCTAGGACTGGTGGCGAGGAGGGACCTGCATAACACATGACCTTCAGGAAGGTGTCACCAGATGAAGACCTGTGCTTCCACACAAGTACCTTTATTCTGACCTTGTCAAAAACATCAAAACAAGGCTGTTGGATAAGGAGGAAGATGTTAGTCTGTAGGGATTCATGCTTTATAAGCAATTTATTTGTGGTCAAATCAAAAGAAGAAGATGGGTCTGTCTGTTTAAAGTTTGTGATTAAATCCTTTCCTAAAGGCTATTCTCATATTTAAATGAAGCAGGATTTAAACCTCTGACCGGTTCGGTCGGTATCTTCTCATCCTCTCCCAACCTCTTTTACTTTTACTCTTTCAGCAAACCTCCTTGGAAAACATTGCACTGTTCACACTCTCCCTGTCACCTTCAAACCCCACTCTCTTTCCTCCCGTTACCTCGGAAACACAGGAATGAGTCACCGCCTCCCTACCCCTCCCATCTAGTGACGAAGAGCCTAACTCCGTCTGGACACCCTGCATCATGTTTTAAGCCCCTGAGTCAGTATTGATTAGCTTGATGGAGTTATCTTTACATGTTTGTCCTCTGCATTGTTTCAGCCTGGCTGACCTTAGAGCAGCCATGTTAACCTCTCTGTGTCATCATCCAGTCTCAGTGCTGAGTTAGGTTTGATGATGAAGCTGATGGTGGAGATAAAATACTTAAGATTGATTTATTTAATGAAAGTTAGTATAAAGCGTGTGCTAAAAAGATAGGCCACTCATTTTATTGTACTTTGGCTTTAGCATATTACTAAAGCAAATGCAAAATAATTCATTTTGGTTTTAATTTGTGTTTGTGCCAAAATAAGTTCTTAGTTGTTGATTTAGGATTCATATAGGTTATATTCATATTATTCATACTATATTCATTCATATAGGTCTTATATATTAATTCAATTTCTCTGTTAATTTTTGTTGAAAAGGTGTTGCCATATTAGTTTATTCCTTAGTTTATCTTAGATCTTAACTCTTAGAGTCTTATCTTAAAGTCCAGATCTCTGGTTCTTCAATAAAAGGGTTTCATTTGTAAATGGTAAATGGCCTGTACTAATATAGCGCCTTTTATCAAGTCAGGAGCCTTGACCAAAGCGCTTTACACTACATTCATTCACCCATTCACGCACACACTCATGGCGGCAAGCTACATTGTAGCCACAGCTGCCCTGGGGCTCACTGACAGAAGCGGGGCTGCCGTACATTGGTGCCACCGGGCCCTCTGACCACCATCAGTAGACAATGCAGGTGAAGTGTCTTGCCCAAGGACACAACGGCACTGAAAGTCGGAGCCGGGGCTTGAACCGTCAATCTTTCAATTTCAGGGCAAACTCCTACATCCAACTCCCTATGTCTTTGTGCATAGCGCATAGCTCTTCCCAGCTTCCCAGCTGTCAATGGAACCCATCCATTGTCGCTGATCTTAACATATTCAGTTATTTCTTATTCTCTTTATCTTCATCCTTGGAACCTTTTTTTCAGCCTTCCTGTTTGGACTCTTCGACAGCTCATCCTAACTCACTCTCCTGCATTCAGTGTCATATATATATTTAAGCTCCTGGGTTTAAATTGTTCCATGCATGATTCTTCCGTCACACATTGCTCTATGTCCTGTTTGTTTTGTTTAAAATCTGTAGCTTTCCATTTTATTATATTAAAGCTCAAGCCTGTTAATCTATATTTGGTTCCAAATCCCAACATGACAGTAACAGCACGTGTTTCTCTTTCTATCTCTACCTATTAATGGCCTCTCTTCAAAATTAAGTGCATAATAAAAATATCCAAACAACCTGAACTTTTTCACATCCAATATGTGTGCATCATTGAATATCATCTATATGCTTGTAATTTAATTTCCGGATAAATCGGACATGTCTTTGAGACATGTCACATTTATCTTTATCAGGCTTTAGAAAATTAGGAAAATCAGTTGATAGAACAACTATAAGCCTATCTGGAAGAGTTGAATGCTTAAATCTACTGAAACTCAGTGCAGTTTGACATAATCCATGAAATGAACATGAAATGCAACTTTTTGGCCTACATGCGAACCAGCATGTGTGGCAAAGCACAAACACTACATATCACTCTGATGGTGTCTATGCTGAGCCACGGTGGTGGTAGCAACATGCTGTGGGAAGGATTTTCTCTAAAAAAATAAAATAAAAATAAAAAACATGTGCACGAAAAAAAAACCTATCCATGAATTCGGACCTGCCTGGAGCTGTTTTGTAAGTAGGAATCGGTAAAAAAAAAAAAAAAAAAAATGCGCAAACAGATCTATTCCTAGAGGTTTGCAAGCGTTCCAATCAGTCATGTGAGTCAAATTCGGTAAACAGCAGCGATAAGGTAGTGTGAAGATGCTTAAAGTTAGATGAAAGCTTTAGTGAATCAAGCAGCAGAGAGGGCGATAATACAGCAGGATTGAACTGGTTATTTTTTCTTTATTAATTCATTTAACCCTGTTTGACTAATCCAAGCCTTACTATTCTGTTGTTTTGAGTCAATACAAGCTCTATATCCTCCTGTGAATAGTGAACCACAGGTAAAGGTGCAGTAAAAAGAAGAGAGAAACAGTCACTCACCAACTATAATACCACAGGCGCTCACAAGTCCGATCTCCTTCTTGAGCGCAACTCCCCCAGACTCCTCCTGAGGCGCTGCATCCTTGGCAGATCCCGCCGTGCTGCTCCGCTGTCTTGGTCCGTCCGTCATTTTGTCTTTGCTTAATTGGTACTAATTTTTTTTTGTCTAAGTTTTGTCGTTTTTTCCCTCCTTCCAGCACCTGATGATAGCCCTCTGCTCGCTCCACGCCTTGTGCGCAAAAGTCCTCCTTGCGCGCAGGACAACGGTCACTGCAGCGTTTATCTGATGATTGTCTTTTTTTGCACTGTCAGCAGCTTTTGAGAACGGTTGTTAGAGGTTAAAACAATATATCCCTCTCTATATAAAATAAAACAATTAAAAATAGTTTGGAAATAAGCCGGAGGCTTTTACAAAACTGGAACCTAGAAATATATTTTTATTTTTCTGTCTTTGCACTGGCAGGGTGGCCAGAGAACAATAAAAGCACATATTCCGATAACTTTTTGGTTTGTTTTGTGCCTGTTGTGCAGTTTAAAGTGAAAAAGATTTTCACAGATTCAGTGGAAAAAAAATCTAATACTCTCACAGCGTTCTTGTTCCAGATGTAAGGAGAGCTGACACAAACATCCCCTCTGCGCACAGACAGTAAAGCAGCAGCCTGGTCTTTCTCTTCAGCCTCCTTGAATTCAGACAGTAGAGCTTGTGTTTGGATTCATATCCATCCCGCCTTTCATAAAAACATTATAGCACCGCCCATGCTGCTTGTTTTTCCATCTCGAAGTCTCCTCCCTTCTTAATTTTCGTTTCCTCCCCTCTAAACCAGCTGTTAATCAAATCTGAAGAGTTCCCTCTCCTTCTAAAGCAGGTGATCTCCCCTCCTTGCAGTGGCGTTATGTTCCAGTTCACCACTTGGCTCCCAGAGCCGCAGTTATTATTCAGGAGGCTGCAGAAATCCTGCTTCTAAATTTAGCACGACTGTGTCCATGGCTGTCTGACAGCTCCATAACTAGATACGTTTGCAACAATAGGTTGTACATTGTTGTTGGTTTATCCTGCTTGACTAAGTTTATCTGAAGAAGACTATAAACACATATGTATTTTGAACAGAGATAAGTTTATACAGGTGAATTTGAATATGGAATACATTTTTAGTGATTTATTTCATTCTTTTTTCAAAATCAGAATCACTTTAAAAATCCCTTGCAGGAAATAATTTTCTTGCAGTGCAACTGTTTAAAGAGGAGAGAAAATAAGATTGTAAATACAAATAAGATATAAGAATAAAACACCGATTACAGGATGTACAATCGACATAATTTATAATTTACAATGCTGCTCAGTACCAAATTACAATTATTGCACATGACCGTGTTATTGCACATAGTGAAGTAATGGAATAAATAAATAATAAGTAAGGAAGTTAAAGGACTGTCAGAGGGATGAATTGTATAGAGTTTGATGGTCACAGGCAGGAATGATTTCCTGTGGCGCTCTGTGGTGCAGCGTGATGAAATAAGTCATAAAACTAAGTACTGTATAGATTCCATCCAAAGCGTAGAATTACTTTTCTCTCTGTTTATTTTATTTAGGGCTTATAGATAATTAAAATAAAAAATTTTGCTCCTCAAATATTAAGAATTCAGGTATTACTAGATTAGCAACATGGCAGGAATCAGTCTGTCTAAGTTTTAAAGGAAGCTCATTTTGCTTTTAGAGTAGCAGTACCCAAGAATGTTTAACGGGGGATACAATGAGTGAAACTATGACTCCAGCCACAGTTCATGCTTCTGATTCCACAAAAACATTATTGAACAGGCTTTGCTTCCTGATTCTCTCAAAGCCCCATTTTCAATATCACACTTTTTCCTTCCACCTAATTTTCCTGTAATCTGCTCGATAAAGAATTTTGAGAACAGCAATGATCTTTTGGGCAGCTTTAATGGCCCTTTTTGGCTGTTTCATTCCATTAATAATTTCCTTTTTAATCTTTTATGTTACATCCTTATTAAGTAGTGGGAACTGATCAGAGCACAGCTGGGCTGTAGAGCTAGCAAATGAGGAAGGAGTTTTTATTTTTTTATTTTTGCACCATCAGCGCCATCACTGTTACACATCATTTGCTCTAAAAGCATCACTAGGGATTTAATTTCAAATCCACCTGCCTGCGGATAAAACACTCCCTGAATGACCGACGTAAGTACAGCAGATTAAAAGGTGGGGCTCATACAGAGTTTCTGATGCAGACAAATTTATCAGCAAACTTGGCAAAGATTTAATAAAAGCCTGGTACTAGGCATATATTTTATTGCAGTATTTTACTAACACAAAGTGAAATTAATAAAAATCCAAGATGTATTCTATTTATTCAGTGCAGACAGAGAAGGCCATGGAGGAAACCATGACTGATGTGTCCATAATACATCGTTATCCTGATAGGATCAGACCTTATAATACATTATCATTTGGTTAGGAATGATAATCCAATAGAATTTCATTTAATTTCGCCCGACATTGCAAAGGATTGTTGTTGTAATGCACTGTAAGAGGGTTTTCTGGTCATTTGGAAAAGAAACAGACCCTCAGCATGACTAACCCTCTGCTGTAGTTAGCAGTTTGCAGGAGGTGGTTTATCAAATTTACTAAGATTGTTTCACAACAAACCTACCAACAGTCAATGTTGCAAAAAATTTGAATTTTATCCTGATATTGTAAAAGCATATGTTTTGGCTAAAGGCCCAGTAGTTTTCAAACCTTAGGTTTGTGGGTCTGATGGTAGGTTAGAGGAAAAAGGAGCAAGTATTCTTTCCTGGCATCACTCCCTGACAGGCAATCGGCTGGTAAACAATATTTCTTGGTTGCTATGGAGGATCGGATGACATAGTTCTCCAACAGTGAACTGTGTAGATATCTTTACCCTCTTCACCATCTTACTGTGGCTGATCACAACATAAATGTGGTTCTTCTGCCAAGTAACCAATTGCTGAAAGAATCAGACTTCTGTGTCACACTTATATCCTGGCGAAACAGAAAGTCATGGATTGCTAATAAAAAGTTCCTCGTTATGCTGATTAAATTTTGAAAACTAAAAAAACACAGAAACTTTCAGCCGTAGAAAAACTCACTGTTTCCTGCTTATCGTTCAAAAAGTGATGTCGTTTTCCATAGATCCCTGAAAGAAAAAACCTATTTAGTTCAGTTGTTTTAGATACCCAGATGCAGTGAGGCAGGAAGGAGCATACGTCATGACTGCTCACTCACCATCCATGTGCTCGGCCATTAGAAAGCCACTGTGTGTGCCAGCTTGTTGGCAGTTTGCTGGCACAGAACACCTTCCCTGGACAATTTTAATGGGCCATCTTAAAAAGAACAAACACATTAGGAATTGTTTTTTATGGATAAGAATATATAAGCTATAGAGCAAGTTCAACACAAAAAAACTCCAAATATATAAGAAATGTCAAAACCAGGCCTTAAATGTCTCTTATTAGGATAAAAATCTCATAGGAAGATGTAAATATCTACAGTATTGCAATAATACCAAATTACAGGGAAAACAGCTTAACAGCTATAAAGCATGTTTGAAATACAATAATAAGATCATGACCACGCATTGATTAAGGTACACATTTAGTTGCTGCTTTTACATGTCATGTTTTAAAAAATAATGCAATTTCCAATGATCCCCTTATTATCTATAAGAAAAGTTGGTTATTCTCTTAAGGATGACATTATCTACCAGCAAGATGGGAGTCTGAGAGGATTTAAAGTTATAGTGGAGGATTTTTGCGAATTTTTGAAAAGACCCGCCTTTTCCACTTAAAAAGAAATGTGCACATGCACAGCCCTGTACTCGCTCTTGAGAGGGGAACGCCAATTAAATGCGTGCAAGAGCATGCACGAGCTCATTTCTCCTCATGCACACTCTGTTTAAAAGTTGCTCATTGCATCACTCATACAAGAACACTTTCCAAAGGAAGATTTGCAATTTTTCCACTATGTCAGACTCACCACCGGTAAGTGAAAATGGGGATGAGCACGTAGGACGGCGTTACGTAAAAATATCACCAGGATGATTGACAATTAGGAGGACCACTTATTTTAATGATCCACCCAGAAAAGAACATCCTCCAATATACCTTTGATATAAAATCTCTGTTTTTACGAATATTGATTTCTCTATAGTACATAAAAAAATACTTCTAGGGAAAATTGAACTGACATGCAAAGGTAAAAGTGAGGGTAAAATGGTAATATATAGGTAAGAAATACAGGCACTATACTGACCTGAACCCAACAAAGAAAGACCAGGAGAGAGCAGCGTTCAAGAATAGCTGCCCACAGGGAAAGAGATACAGTTTCTAAAAAAGTCAACATCAGAACAAAGCAGATGAAACTAAAAGACAAATGAATTACTCCAAAATGTGAAAAAATCTGTAAATGATTTACACATCCATATAAAATCCTGATTTCCAGAATACCCCCTTGTTTCACCATCATTCAATTGAAGTTTCCTCACTGAAGTCACTAAAGGCTAAAATATTAACTAAAATATTCCCTAAAATATTAACTGATATATTGGGTCCAGGACGCTGGATTTGCCGTTGAGCCCCTCCGAGGTGTCATGGGTTTAAATCAACGAAACACCAGTGAAGGGGGGTGCCCATTTGACAACCTTCTGAGCCTACCCAACTCCGATTCCAGTCACAGAGACCTAGTGGTGCCTTGAGGGAAGGAAAGAGAGAGAGAGAGAGCGATGCCACTGGCCCACAGATGGTGCAGGGGCAAGTACCTGTAAAGGTGGGCCAGTTGCGATATCCCTTATCGTATCTTGCATATTCATTATCAGCTTTACTGCTCTCAATAAAGCTGGTTTTTTTAAACAAGGGGAAAAAAAACTAATCAGCACATAATTAACATATAAATGTGTTTGAATATTTACATTTTAATTCACTTATCTGCTTGAAAAAAAGTTCCTTTGTTTTGGTCTTGACCTATTATTTGTTATCTTTTAATCAGCAGGACTTTAAGAAGTCATTGATCAAACATAATCACACCTATTTTTCTGATCATGATAAAGTTAATGGCTCTGATTGATGCAGAGCACACCCTTGATCATCTTACTCACCTTCAGATTAAAAATGAGCAGCATTGACTTGACATTGTTTTCTTCTCGGTATTAGATCATAACATATAATTATTTTAGTGTAATCAGAGCTGATTAGTAAAAGCAACAGGAAATATGTTAAAATGAGGAGGATAAGAGTGAATGTGTTCCCATGTAATAATAGTAGTAATTATATTTTGCTTACACCACTGGACTCTTCTAAAGGTAATGTCACACCGAAAGTAAAACATGCATAAATTTTGCCATTTTCCTTTAGCTAGTCTTGAAATGGCCAGGTGAAAGCATTTTGCCTGACTTGAGAAAAGCTCCTACATCATGGAATCTGCTGGACATTGGTTTCACCTCCTCATGGTGGACATGCATTTACAAATCGACTGGCAGTGTGTTTTACTTTAGAAAGTCATACAAAGCTGTTGGCATTCCTGGCTTCACAAGATTCCCAGAGACGGAACCAGTATGGGGAATACCACCACCTCCTCCAGAGGCTAGGTCAGGATTATGCTCGCTTTCCACCTATGGAACCGCCGCAGGAGGTAGCGATCAAATGTTGGCAACCCTGATGTCCCTAAATTTGCCACCTTCGCCTCGCTCAGCTTCACTCCAGATCTACCTCTAGATAGTGATAACATGGGAATTATTTCGCTCCAGTTGCGAAATTTGCGTTCGGTGTGAACTGACCTTTAGACAGAACCATTTTCTATATTTATGCTGATATAGGTTTAGGCTGCTAGAGAATATATGATCACTTTCAACATTCTGCTTTATATTATTTATATTCTGCCATTCTGCAATATTTGTTAGTTCCACCCATAACTTTATGTTCTTTCTGCTTTCTCTTGTCATTGTAGCTTCATCTGGTTTGTTTCTGGTTTGCTATGACTCCATTCTGGCAAGCAATATCCGTTAGACTGTTGCAATCAATACCTAGATGATAAATGTTGAAGTTGGGTCTGTTTCCTTTTTTGTGACTAATTGTATGTATTCTCTATCATCCTTTGACAGGAGAAATGGCTCCGAGCTCATCTGCCTGGCTTTGTCTTTCCTGGATGGGGTCACCTGTGAAGCTAGTAAACAGTTACCTTTTGTATATTTACTTCTTTTTGCATGTCTGCTTCTGTTAATGACAAAATCAAAGCAAAAATCCTTACCCCAAACTCATCTAGGAGAAGCATGTCCTGCAAGTCAGTGACTCGATGCAATAACCAGTTTTTACTTGATAGAAATGTTTGACCAATCCGAGTGCATTGTCTCACTAAAGTGTTGTGAATTGGTGCTATAAAAGGTAATTTAGCAGAATTACAGATGTTCCAATGTGAATCTCCTTGTGTAGTTGTGGGAAAAAGAAGTCAAAGAGAGTAAAAGGTGCTAGTATCATGGTGGTGCCCTATGTGGACTTTAAGTTTCTTTTTAAGTTTTTTGTTCCACTTTCTTGTTCATTGGTTTATTTTCCATTTTGTGTTGTATTTAAAGCAGTGTTTTATTTTTTTTGTTACTCTCTGTTGCCCCCTTGTGCCATTCTCCTTTCGTTTAGCTCCTTCTAGTTACTTCTGTCTACACCTGCTCCCTATCAGCTAATTAGTCCTCCCATTGTTTCTGTCTCCCATATATACACCTCCTGTTCCGGATGTTACTTAGCTTCTCATGTGTGTTTTCCCATGATGTCTCCTGGTTTTTGGTTTTCTGCATTGTGTTCTTGGATTTTGTTGGATTTTTTTCTCTGCCTCCTCATCCCTGCATTTGGGTCCTCAAAAAACTTCCACCCAATCCTGACTGCTAGATGTTTGACTCCAGTGTGAGTTGTGCAGGGAAAACACCATGACTGTGAACTAAAGCTGGAACTAACTCTCAAGAAGCATTTTGATCTGAGTTCATGTCTTTTCTATTAGTGCTACTGGTGTTAGCAATGTTTTCAAGCCCTACCCTCCAAACTGTTTGTTTTCCATGAGGCATCACAGCACACTCCGTCCGCATAGTCAGACTTATTTCATAACTTATTCGATGGCCACCATCTGGCTTTCTGGTAGTTCTGGGGTACTGGAGTCAGACAGCACCACATCTGTTAATGTCAGCTCTATCAACTTTCAGGACTATCAACACTCTATCAGAAGTATATGGCCTTGTTTTATCACAATCAACTGGATTTAGGTATTTATTTCATAGGCATTTAACATGACTATGTTCTTACAAAGAAAAAAAAAAAGAATGTGAACAAGTGAAAATCTTAGTTTCTGGTTTCTGGTCTTAGTTCCAAGGGCTACCAGATACTGGTTTCATAGCCAGTTAAATGGTTCGGTTTGTCCAAATTTGCCCACTCTGGGAGCAAGTTTCACACAATGTCAGCTTCAAGTGGAATTTATTCCTTCACGTACATTTCTAGACCCCAGCCACATTAAATTGGGTTTGGATGTTTCTGAAAAACTTGGTCAAATGAAATGTTGGCAAAGCCGTCAATATATGAAACCTGTTCAGAGAGCAGAAAGGTTTAAAGCCACCCCCTCGCAGGGACTCCACCCTCTCCCTTAAAATGCTTGCAAAAATACAACAAACGCCGACTTTAAGGCTTTTTTTTCACTTCTGGTTTTGTTGTTTTCACCTTGCACTTCCCCCTCCAGCGTTATCATGCCACTCACTTGCTTGGCAGAAGTATTAGCATGTATATTATGGCTCGTTCAAGTTGCTGCTGTTTCAATTTAGCGCTTTAACTTCCATCTTGAACTAATTGATGACATAATATTCAGCCAAAGGACCAGACGTGCATTAATAAAATGTAGGAAAACATTCATAACAGTAATTGAGTACATCAAGTTTGCATTTTAAGTTTTCACTGCACAGCATTTATCAATTGTCAGCAAGAAAAAAAAAAACCTTTAACAACCTGTTTCTTTCTATTAGTCTTGACAGAGTAAAAAGGGAATTATATCTCTAACTGCTACATTCAAAACACCCCCCCTCCTACCCAACAGATTTATTGTTCTTTGTCAAGTAACATATTTGGAAGCATAACTTGCAGCAGTTATGCTTGAACTTCTCCTGAGTCAGCCGGAGTTAGCTGCTAGTGGGGAGTTTATAAAGCTGACTCTTTTTCTTCCTGACAGTAGTGCTCAGTTACTCAGAGCTCGATGCACAAGACAGATGCAGAAGCAACAACTACACCTGCAAGGACGACCTCTGCAAAATAAAAACATCCCTTTCAAACCCAATGATAAAATTAAGGTTAGAATTTACATTAAAAATTCAATAGTTTTTTTTTTTTTATTATATTTACAGCTAGAATTTAAAAAGGACAGATTGTCATTCAGACTTAATCCCCATGTTTTACATCATTATCAATAAGATTTAAACATCAAAGCAGACATTGCTCACACCCTGCACCTTAGAGCAATTCTCCAGATGAGGCTGTTGATGATTAACCCCAGGGATGATTAATCCCTCAGGTTGTTTGCTGCTCCATGGCTGGGAAACTGGGACAATAACATCCAAACATGAGGGTAATGGCTGTAGTGCCAGGCAAGGGGAGATGCTTATTTACAATCAGGACAGAAACCCACTAAATAAATGTTACTAAGAAACTTTTATTGTGGCTAAACACATTTGAGAGCAGACACAACTTTCACTTTATTTGGCGAAAGATCCAGAGATCCTTGACTTTTTACTTCACTGAATAAATAAAGAGAATTGTAAGTTACTAAAAAGAAACCATCGAGAATGAATGATATTTTTCTTTGCTTTTATGTAATAACTCATACATATCATAGAAACGTATTTGTAACCCGTAAACGTTTGCTCTAACATAAAACACAAACAGTTCTGAGTTTAATAAAATTTACATAAGATAAACAAAACAAATACCTCAGAAAACAAGTTAACGGAATCAATTAAGGTTTGAACTCCACCTAAAGTGCAGGAAATAAAATGTAGGACTGCTGTTTATACCTAGAAATAGGTATAAACAGCAGTTCACGTAACTGGATTTTAGGGAAAAGCAAAGTTCCTCTTCAAAATATCCTGTTCTCAGCCCATTGGTTCAAATGAGAAGTGAGGCCACACCAGACTGATTTTGGAGAATTACTCGGATGCTGCAACTATTAAGCTGTTAGCGTTGAAGCTGCAGCCAGTTCATCAAAATAATGTATGGAGCAGGGCTGAGCCCGTCTGCTCTAATCTGTTCAGCAGGGCATTGTTGTTCTGCCCCTCTCTTCACCTGTAATTATTTTACTGTCAGTAAAGAGGTGATTACTGGGATGAGACAGATTTTTTGAAGAAATGACAGAATACCAGGCAAGTCATAGAAATCTCAATTCAAATGTGGCATAATTTTATGGGAAAAAACAGGACTTATTTTGACTTCACCAAAAAGTTCTGGACATTTTCTAGCAACATTGTGACTGACATGAACAGGTAAGGGGGGGGGGGAGATTATTAGGTAGATTATTCCTGTTTTGAAATATAGCTATAAGAGCTATAAGATAATCTGAATTGATACCCAATTGCTATTTAACCCATACAGTACAGCGTTAACCCTATCTGCTCAGTTAAATCAGTGATTTTGAGTTCAGATCTTATTTTTATTTTTACACAAAATGTCTGATTTGAGTAGTTAATACACATTGAATGTCATTTCAGTCCATTTGATTTGTTTAATAATTAATTAAGTTTAGCTTATTGCCATAAGGCCACCTTTTAAGCTTCTTGTCCGGTTAGATGTAAAGTTTAGTAGTTTGTAGAATTATGCAATATGTCAGGAAGTAATAGTTTCTATGAAATAAAGAAAAGTTTCCCTCAAGTATGATTATGTGACACATACAAAAGCCATTCCTACTAGCCTCTCTTCAAAGCAAGAAAGAGTACTTGGCCTTCAAATGTGTGTTTGTATATTGACCTTAATAAACCAGCAGAATTGACCAAAGAAAACCAAATGGCTATAATAGATAAAGTAAAACAAATGGAACTTTAGACAATGACCCAAATTAAGAGATAAAAATGGCTTAATGTTAGCAAACAGCAGCAAAGAGAGACATAATGAGGTCAATAAATCTCCATAACAACCATTCGTCAGTGTCTAGATGTCTACCATCATAAATGTAAAGTTTATGATTTTGTTCTAATATGAATTTGAAGAGAATAGAACCATAAATTAAGGTTTGTGATGCTTTGGGCCTGTTTTTCATTCAGGAAAAACTTTTAACTTGTTAAAATACAAAGACATACCACAACAAACTAGGGGACTGCGTAAGAAAACTGAGAAAAGGGGAACAAAATAAAGGAGCTGAAACATATGCCTGAATCTGCATTAGAATAAACGTTTTTTATGGTAATCTCAATGTAAAGTTTTTTTTAAAGAATTTTCTATTTCAGATTATGCTGCGGCAATAAAAGATAAAGCTTGAAGATAAACTATATAGACAATTAATACGATAGTTATTCCCCATGTACTTCATGCAAATGTGTATTGTCTTTATAAAGCCCTGACTTCACTTGCAGTTCCCATCTTTTAAATCAGTTCTAACATATTTTTTGCCTCACAATCCTCTCTCGCCTGCTCTTAGCTAAATTGATTTTTGCACACTTTTTCCTTCCACCGAACTTTTAGATAACGTGTTTTATGCTGTATTCAGTAAACTGACATTTTCTTCAGCAATGACTTTTTGTTGCTTAGCCATATAGTAATTATCAGTGATTGTCTGTTGGACAATAGCCAAGTTATCAGTATACTCTATGATTTTAACAGCTGAAGTTCACCATAAGATAATCTGTCTTTTATAGTTTTTACAGGACTCAGAACTAAGGATCCAGAATTCGAAGCAGACAGATAGATGTTATTCACAAAAGTAATATTGTCGGATCTACAATTCAGCATTTAGGGCGTCATAACGTCGGAATCACTCAGGTAAGTGACCATGTAAATCTTGCTGAGAACGATTACAAGCATGTGAGTCACTAACCTGGTTTTGGAGCTCAGTCTGTGCTCAGAAGAAAGAGTGGAATCCAGCCGGTGTGGTTGCCAACAGCATGCGCCGAATGCCACCCAGAGAGTTCCCGTAGCCGAAGACTTGAAGACTGCTGAACCGGCTGACGAGTAGATCCAACTAGACAAAGGAGGGCAGGTGTTTCCAGAAGGTGAAGCTAAAGCCAATGTAGAAGAGCTTAGCAGAAGTCCAGGCTGATAGATCAGAGATCCAAGGAGGTGCAGAGGGGAAATCCAAGTCGTAGTCAAGGTTCAGTCTGCAGAAGGAAACCAGTGGGAATCCGAAGACAGGTCAGGCAAAAATATCTGAAAGGGAACAGGCAGGCTATTTCAGGCTGGAGGCAGAACTGGTCAGGATTGGGCAATCGGAACAACCAACAGCTGCGCTAGAGAACTTTCACCAAAGGCTCGAATAATCTGGCACTGATGACCTGGAGCAAGCAGCTTAAATAGAGAAAGGAGCAGGTGGATGAGATGAACAGTAATGAGAAACTAGGCGGAGCTAGGCAGATGAAAAGAATGAACCATTAAGCCAGTCATCAGCACTAAGATCAGGACAATTTTGAAATGATGAATTAAGATATGTAATAGTCTTTATATTATTTTTTTTTCTCATTTACCATTTAAGAAAATAAATGAATTATTTCCTGAGATTTACCGTTTTAGATTGGTCAAAAAAAATCCCATGGCAACAAACTAAGACAAAAAAACAAACCAGCGATGGTGTCCTAAGTAAAGATATATAAGCATAATTGTTTCTTTTGAAGTTCACATCATTACAAGCAATTAAAGTGTTTTTATGTGACTTAGTCTATGAATGAGGTGTTGACATCCTGTTACAACACAGTCTATTTTCAGCTGTTGACCCATTATGTACATTCACTCATCTCCCCAAAACATTGGATATTCTGACTCTAACCTTCCACTTGTTAAGCTCTTAAATAAACACATTTTTGAAACAATCTTTTGTAGTTTGATAATGCTTGAATGGGAAGCATACAAGGAATTCAGCCCTGAGCCCAGTGTGACTGCATGAGATGACGAGCCAGGAGAACAAGTCAAAACCGGCTTAACTTGGAACACAAAGTACATTCAGGAGAGGAAAGAGGTGTTATGTCACAAACAACTATATGTCTCCAGAGGTTAATGGATGTAAATCCTGCCCAATTGGCCTGTCCATAAAGAGACCATAACTAAAAAATACACAAAAATAAAAGAACAACACATTTCTGGTGAGATGATGAATTTTGAACACACTTGAAACTGCCCTTACTTCATGGAAATTAAGGTAAAAAAAAAGATTATCAGACACTCTACCATATATTTTTTCATATGAACAGAGAGAAAAGTGACATATTGTGTCAGTGCAGCATTAGCTTTGTGAATTCAATCAAAACAAGATAGAGATGGACATTAGTGCATACTTTTCCCGGAAACCATATCCCTAAATTGACATATGTTCAAACACCTGGTTATTTCTACTGTGACGTGGTGCTTATTTATAAAGATGTTCCCATAAGGCCATTTACTGAAACCTAAGACACGGTTGCTCAACAGATGAGGTCGACAGGAGGGGCGTGACAGAGGGAGGTGTTCGAGGAGGAGTAAGTAGAGGGAAATGTCTGGAAAGCAAAAAGAGATCCCTGTGACCTGGAAAAAAAGGAATGTATGAATATACAGTGAAAACCGAGGAAAACACAGAGGAGAAAAAAAGAGATCAATAAAAGAGGAGGAGGAGGAGGAGCAGGAGGCGTGTGAGTGGAGATGGTAATGTGAGCTATGTGTTTACAAACTCCTAAGAAGATGGGCTGCTGGGACAGGATGTTCGAAAGCACAGATCACGACCAAAACAAGAGGATTCACTGCAGAGATGTCAGGCTGAAGACTGAACCTGCAAACACAAAGTCCAAACCATTATTAATATAGATATATATAAGGGAATTTATTGTTTGTGTTTCACCAATGTGTTTTTTTTCCCTGTTTATTTTACCCATATTAAATCTTGTATTGGTTTGCTGGCCTGGCTCTAATCTAGCTAACCAGCTGGTGGAGATATTCACATCCTTCTAATCTATTCATTGTATTGTACCAGTTTATTCATAAAGAAAAGTAGATATGAATTTAGTTAAACTAGGTGAGAATAAAATCAATTTTTTCATAATAAACCTGCTTAACAATTTCAGATCAGTCCTTTAGTTTAATCTCTGCAAAGGTGGTCTGAAGGCATTTAGGTTCAGTTCAAAAGAAGAGCAAGAGTTAAACAGCATGAAAGTTCTTACAAAGCTGTTTGTGTTGCTGAACCACATCTCTGCTGCACCAATCATAGGGGGATATTTTAATTTTTAGAGTTCGTCCCAAAAACAAGACGCATCTCTCTCTCAGGTCTGAACAAAGCACTGTTAAATGATACAAGAGAGAGCTGCAATCCAAAGAATAAACTCCTCTCCTTAACATACGTAGCTGTATGCCACATTTATGACTATTTGTGCCGAATGATCAACACAGTGATAATGGTCGTCTTTTGAGGAAAACACTGATAAAGAAGAAGAAAAAGTAAAGAAGCTGGAGGACGGTACGAAGAAAAGGTGCTGGAAAAAATAGAAATCTTAATCTAAAGTCTTTTTTTCTTAAAATAAGTGCATTTGTTCTTGAATTGAGGAGGAAAGTGAGACACTTTGCCAATGGAACAAGACAATTTACATTTTAAATTATAACTCCATTCTCTAATTTAAAATGCATATTATCTAATTATCTCATTTTAAGAGTAAAAATACTAATTCCATTGGCAATCATCTTATTTACCTTCTCAAAATAAGAGTAAATACAGTTAATTTAAGAAATTTTGACTTACTTTCCTCTTCACTTTTGCAGTAGGGTTGTGAACGGTTCCCCTTATTTGCTACTAATGCCCACGATTTATAAATGAAATTGTTAAATTTCCAAAATAGGTTGCTTTAATTCAAAATGTCATAATCAATCCAACAGTAGCTAGGAAACTAATCAGTTAGGTGAACAGCTTTTTTTTAAATTTGTATCCCACTTCCTGGCAGAGGCGTAGCCAGATCATTTTTATAAGGGTGGCCAGGTAATAACCAATGTACACTGAAGGGGGGCCGAAAGCAGATCGGCACCAGAACTTTAGGGTCAATCTATACTGATCCAACAGGAAAATGAACAAACATATTTTCCAAATAAAGACAAACTATACTTACCTACAGCCGTTGCTAACAAATAAATGCATATATTTAAAACATCCATCTAGATAAAAGGTATAGTGGATAAAGTTACTTCAGGTTTGAGTTCTAGGTGGAACATCTTTTCTATTGTCATTACTTATTTACTTTTGTCAATAATCATTCTGCATAAAATTGATATTTACAAGTTCTAATATCTACAAAAATTGTTTACAATTTTTTTTATTAGAATAGTTATTTATCTATGATTTAACTGAAGACTGACTTGCATTTTCTCTTTACCCCATATAACACAAAATCTAGTTCTGAAAAAAACATGAATTCTGTACTTAGCGTCTTTTGTAAGTATATTTATGTGCATAATTAACCACAGTGTTTTTGTTGACAAGTAATTGTTAATCAATAAAAAATAAAAATGGTTCGAATATTGAGAGCATTACTGTACTATCACTTGGGGGTATTACTGCTGCCACTGTCAGTATTATGGGGGAAATAATGGTAGGGGTGGACACAGGGGTGGCCAATGATTCGGTAAGGGTGGCCATGGCCACCCCTGGCCCCATCTAGCTCCGCCCCTGCTTCCTGGTAGTAATGATATTCCTCATTATGTCTAACAAAACGGTAAAGAAGAAATGAAAATCTCTGCTCAGGGTCTGTGAGATTTCACAGAAGCTTTCAGTCGTTTGTGCATTTTCTGTCTTCATGAAATTAAAGTATATTTACTGATGATAACATTTACTTTAAAAAATTGTTCTTGAATTGATTTAGTGAATTTGATTCAAATGTCACATATTGTCACAGTCTTGGTTTTGTTATGTTTATTTAGAGTATTCAGCTTTACTTTGCTTCTTGTTTTAGTGTTTAATTATTATTTTCTTGTTAGTTCCTGTCTTGCAGGTTTTCCATTTGTTGTCCTCTGCTGCCCTCTTGTGTCCTCTTTCCCTAGCTCTGTTTTCAATCATCTCGTTAGCCCTCTCTTTGTCTCTGTCCCCTTTAAAAGCCCTCCCTCTTCAGTTCCTGTTTGCTGGATCCTCGTCTAACGTCTGTCTGCTTACCTCGTCTCTCCCTGGCTCCTAGAGTTTGGTTTCCCCTGATGTCTCCTTGGTTCTGGTTTGTTTGTTATTTTTGTTGGATTTTTGATTCCTGCCTCCGTACCTGAGAACCTCATTAAACCCTCCTAAATTCACCTCCGCCTACTTGCCTCTGCTTTTGGGTCCTCAATCCACACCAAATCCTGACACATATCCTTTTTTCTTTTTTTTTTACAAGATATTGCAGTGAATGCATAAATCCTCTATCTGTGCTAGAAATGCTTTCATTCAATGTATAGTTATACATTGTGTCTATTATAATAAAGCTAGATTGGTGAAAACATATGATGGAATAACTACAACTTGTGATAGACGTCACCAGACTACTGCAAACCTTGTACATATGTTTTGGAACTACCCATCATTATATAGTTAGTTCCTTTGAGATACATATTCTTTGACTTTTCTTGCAAAATCTATAAAAGATGTTCTTACTCTCGCCACCCTTTTGGCGAGACAACTGATTGTTTTTAAATGGAAACCTTCTGTACCACCTTCACACGCCCGCTGGATTAGAGACATCCTTTATTTTCTCAAATTAGAAAAGATCAGAATATCACTGACTGGCAGAAGTGGAATGTTTATGAATGTTAACAAGTTTGTTATGTCACTTACTCAAGACCGCTACGATTAATATGGACATACTATATGACTATATATATTTAGGTTAATTAGCTATTCGAACATGTCTTGTATTTAACATTTGTTTTTGAATGTCAGTTTCAGTTTGTTTCTTTTGTATGTGTGTATTTGTGTGTGTGTGTGTGTGGGGGGGGGGTTATTGTTCTTGCAAAAAAGGAAAATGTACTTCATTGTTATACTGTATGTAATAAGTGATCTTTTTGCTTAATAAACAAAGTGGAAAAAAAAGTCACATATCCTGATATCCAACAAGACTTTCCTCCATACATATCTGAATGCATGTTGGTAAACAATGTTAATATGACTGTGGATGTATCTGGGGTTAAACTAGTCTGAACTTGTCTGTGTTTTGTTGTATGGCTCAGTTTTTTTGCAGACTTGCAATTGCAAAATGCATCAGAGCTGACACAATTAACGATCCACTTCCAGATTCCCATCAGCTCAGATACTTAATAATCAATTTCTTTATCACAGAAAGCTCCCGTCAGTACAAAGGACATCAGGTTACAGATTTTTCTACATCTGCTGAACACAAGCATTTTTTATATTTTCTAATAAGAATCGTAAGTTAACTTAAATAACAGAAAAGATATTGAGTCAGACATGTATCTAATTGTCTTTAACTTCGATTTCAATAGTTCTGTGTATTTTATTTCTCACTAAAATGATTTCTCTCTTAGAGACAAACTTGTTTCCAGCTGCAGTCTTATTCGCTGAGCCAGCAGCAAAGATTGTTTTTTTCTTTTCGAAGAAATTGCATGAGTACAACTTTCTGTTTCAGAGTGTGGGTTGGAGAAAGATTTTTTCTGTTGCACATAAAAAAAATGAAAAGACTTGTTTTTAAGATTAGAAAGCCTTAGATTTCTGCTTGTGTTCGATTGAGCTAACTTGATGAAGTCCCTCCCTCTAAGTCTCTGAGCTGTTTTTTGTAAATCTAGCTGGATCCAGTTCACACTGCTTTTAGGACGTGACCTGTTCGAGACACTCTCCCACTTCTCCTTCAGAACAGAGAAATAACCCCAGAAAATGAGACACCTCAAACCACAGCTACCTATTGGGACAGTGAGAAAAACTTTATGCAGCTTTTAAAAGCATTTACTTGAGATACAGTGAATTTCTTTTTTCTTTTTTTTTCTCATCATTGTTGTCTTCTTTTGCATGACTATGACAGCTGATGTTGCTAAGAGAAGTGAGAGAGGAGGGAAGGAAAAAGAGAAGAGAGGAGAAAATCGATCTCCAGCAGATAAAAAGTTCCTGAAAGCTCCTGGATCCAGTTGAATAAATCCAAAGCAGACCTCTGACAGGAGTCAGGAAATGTGTCATGTTTTAAATGATCTTTCACTGTATGCCAGATGTGCAATCCTTCTCTTTTAGAGTTGCCTCGATGTTTCGATTTACGCTTAAACAATGTGTCAGTCCATCATACATCCTCATTTTTAACATTTCTCTTTTAAAAATGGATTAATAGTTTCCTTTTTTTTACACTTTAAAAACAAAAACTTGAACATAGCACAAAGTAGTGCATCTTTGTAAAGTGGAGAGAGAAATATGGTTTGGAAGAGTTTTAGAGTAAATATCTTTGCACGTCTCATGAATTTAGCCATTGTCCATCTTTCTTTCTAAATTAGCTCAGGGTCAGTAGAATTGGATGAATAGCCTCATTGAGCATCAGTTATTTAAGTCTTCCATATTTAAGGGCCACAGGTGGTTTACACAGTTAAAATTAGGGTAAAGGTTTACTGTCAACCTTATGGGCGGTTCTAGACAGGGACAAATGGGGGCCAGTGCCCCTGTATCTCATGTCCTGGCCCCAGTTATGGCCCCTGTACTGAAGACATAATATTCAAAGAAGTTCTAATGATGATATGCACTGGAACAGACATGGTTACTAATAGATCCTTTAGATCTATTTCATTTTTTTTCTTTACAAATTTTGTTTTACAAATTATTTAAAAACATATAGGTGATAGCTTATGTGGTATTGAAATAGGATCCCAGTTTTCATCTGCTAAATGTTTTTTTCAAAACAAATAAAAAAAAAATACTCTGAACTGATCCATTTTTCTTGAGTTCTAATTCAGATTTGATGAAAAACAGTAATTTTAACTTAATTTAAGTTAAAAATATGTAAAATTCCTAAATTCTGAATGTATATTGACCTAATAAGACATAGAATTTTAATTTATTGTAATTGAATAGAAATTTCACTTCATGCAGCTATCTTAATATATTTGAATCCCTTGTTTTTGATTTCATTTCATTTTCTGTGCCCCGATGAAAACATCACTGGCCCCCTCCTGGCCGCCTGGTAAATTTGGTCTAGAACCACCCTGGTCAACTTATTTTACTCTAAAGTATTTACAACTACACATGTAAATCTGCTCCAGTGTTGGAGTTAATAGTCAGTGACATATTTGACCACCATGCAGGGTAACTTTTCCTCTATATGGTGTTGATTACCTGCCAGTCTCTAAGTGGTCTTCCTGGTTTTGACACTAAAATGAGTGGAATTAACTGTGAAAACTTCATAATGGCTATAGAGTAGATTTAAAGACCAAATGTAGTCTGAAACATTTCTATTCCACTCTATAGGTGTTCAGGTGACACTTTGTTTTTTGCTTTGTATTGTTGCAAACGTGTACTGAAGTAAAAGTAGTGCAACTTCACTATATTTCTACTCAAGTAAAAGTAAAAAGTAGCTGTCCAATAAATTACAAAAAATAAGAGTAAAAAATTACTTGGTAAAAAGGCTACTCAAGTACTGCATACATGCTTTACTATTTAAAATGATGTAAATCAGACAGACCTTAATATACAGTACATTCTAGATGTTTAGGGAAGTGAGAATGCAGTTATGAAAAGCTGGGCAAGTTTTGAAGCTAAATACTGGGATGCACCCCGTGAATATGACCTTTATGCCATGACTCATGTTTTTCCCAGCTATTTTAACATTTATTTGGATGATGGCGTTCAAACTAACAGTGACCTGAAGGGAGTGCTTTATAAAAAAAAACAAAAAACAGCCTTCATGAAGACTGACTGGGAATAATGGAGGAGTGTGCACAAGTAACAAATTCAAAATAACCCCAGGCTTCACGGAGAAGGAGGAAGGATCTGATTGGTGGAACCTTGGAAAAATCCGGAAGACTGAAACTGTTTTCAACAAGTTTTCAACAAGCAAACAGTTATTATCTTACACCGTGTAGCTTTGTTGTCTATAGAAACAGTGCTCTCTGGCATTTTCCAAATAGCGGGAAAAAAAAAGAAAATCTGTGTCAAGGATGTTTGAGATGACCACAGATTTTTTTTGGCATGTCAGATAAGATGTGGTCTTAGTACCTTCTCCAGAGGGGGAAGCTTTAATCATTTGCACAGTGTGGATCATGAAATGAAGGCCCTTCCTGTCCTCACAGAAAAGGTAATAATAAACTCTACAATACACCTGTGAAAACTGACCATTAGCTGTAAAACATGTGCTTTACTTTAACAAGGAAACTTAAATTTCCTTTCATTTAAGGTCATCAGGTTTCTGCAATCTAATTTGGGGACATTTCCAGTTTGTAGATGAAAATAATTACATATCATGAAAATAAAATAGGAAACAAGGACAGTATTGCTTTCATCAATTTTTACATATTCAATAATGTTTAAAAAACAGAAATCACATGTAAAATAACAGCCAAACAACTAATAACTCTACTTTAAGTAATTAACTATCTGATGATATACTGTAAGCTAAAGGTTCTAAAAACATCTTTAGGCGAACCCTTGTTAATCCCTGGAGAACCACCGAACCAGATTAGCGCCTTACAAGAAATGTTTGATCATTCCATTTAATTTTATCTGAGTCTATTTACTCATCCAAGTTGCAGCCAGTGCTCAGTCTTACTTTTTGTTGATTAGCTTGTTTTATGTTACATTTTCCTCATCTTTAGTGAAACAAACACATCAAAGCCACTTTTTTTAAATTAACCTGGGCATGAACCAAACATTTATCACAATGATCAGTGCAATTCAGATCAGGTTAACCGATTAACACCCTCACCATAACAAAGGGCAGCTGCAACCGGTTGTGATAACGAACGTCCTTGTCTGTGTGCACTCTGCTCCTCATCAATAGGCTAACAGCTGCCAATCAGCTAGTTAACAGCTGTTTCTGCACGCAGCATGTTCACACGCTCTTTCTACCAGGATAACATTCTACAGACATTTCCCCCCTCATTCATAAAACTGTAAAATTGTGGACATCTCCGGGGACAGCTTTAGAAAATCTAGGACGTCTGGTCACCGTACACCACATATTTTGTCAAGCTGCATTGATAGAAATGGGCCTTTATTCAGTGGATACATCGTAAATGACTGAGGGTACATAGCCAAGGAATTATGCTACTACAGAACCATAAACACAGATAAAGCTAATGCTAAAAGAGGCCACAGCTACTTTTACTTTTTTCCCCTCTCCTTCCACCGCTTCTTTCCCTCCAGCAATACAGAGGCCATCATGGTGCAAAATGGCTTCTCCATTACATTATCTATGTCAAGTGACAACGATGTTTGCTTACATAGATTATTTAAAGTTGTACAGAGACGGCTGTTCCAAATGTAGTTCCGAATCCTCCTGAGTGGTGCACAACTGTACACGAGTGAATAAAGTAAAATAAAATGAAGCGATGACGTCACGAGTACGCTTCTGTTCCAATTGACCCATATTAATGCTGCGTGCTCCCGTTCTCCCCAAGTCCACACTTTTCTATGTTCTTCTCAAGAACATACTTGGCGAGGTCACGAGTCTATACTCGTGTTCTTGTGAATTGAGAAACAGCCATCAATTCACTCTCCAACTATACACCTGTAACGGTCACCACTAGTCTGTAAAGATTCTTATTTCAACCGTTTCGTATATTAGTTGCGACACATGAATCAAGATGCTATTACCGAAAAAAATTGATTGACAGATGACCGTTGATATATGATTGGCCGAATTTAAGTGTACAGGCTGAGGTATAACTAATTGGCCTGCATAAGATAATAAAAAAAACAACATAGATTTTAAGACAGGATTTTTTTGTAAATAGAAATTTTGGGACAATATGGTCTGATAAAAACTACATTTATATACATGTTTACTCCAGAATGATTTGACATTTAAAAATGATCTCCCTATGACTTTAAAAATAGTATTTTTTAGTCTTTGTACGACATAGATTTTATATTGGCCTAACTTGCTGCAGTTACATTTGAGCGAAATAACGATCTTTTAGTCACTATTTGGTCACCTCTGAGGTGCCATAGGGCAAAGATGTCTGACTCCATTAAATGCGAGCTATATCTTTACAAATAGGCATTTCTAAGGCAACACACATTTAAAGGCTGAGACTTTCAGTTTGTCAATGATAATGAAAAAAAAATACCCACATATAATACATAAAGGCCTGTAGCTTTAAACAACTTTCCTGTTAAGCAGCATATAAAGCTTTAGAGTATTTCAGGCCACCAATATCAGTTAAATTCACTTGCAAACGTATGTGTTCTTAGCCTGCAACTGTTACTCTGACTTTTATCATTGCGCGTTACTCTCAGTCAGTCAAACTGTTAATGTGCATCTCAAAATAAATGGCTTATTAGGACTCAAAAATTCTGTTTTCAATATATTTGAATAAACTAAACACCAACAAACCAAACGCAGAGGAACATTACCAAACATGGACACTCTGGGTTTCTAATGTTTATTCCTTCTAATAAAAGTTAAATTTTCACCTCATACTTCAGTCGTTTTGCTAAGCTTTATGGCACTGGCAGCTAATGAGCCGATAAATTTGCTGATGCATCTACAGTGATTCCTTTAATGAGTATCAGACAGAGCTCTAGAGCTATGACACATACAGTGAGAGTTTACTCAAAAAAAAAAAAAAAAACACCCAGCAGCTTCACCTGCTCAAAAAAAAAAAAGAAATAGAAATATTATAAAGATCAAACTACCAGTTTGTTTCAGACCAGAGTTGAACAGCTCCAGCTGTCCTGGATCTTTGTGTTTCTATGTATGTGATCTACTGCTCTCGCCAACATGTAGAATCTGTCACCCTTTTTCTGTGTGTATCTTTCCCACAGTGATGCTCACCTTCTTTCCTTTAAGGACTCAGTGTGAGTTTTTGCTCTGTGTTTATTTATTAGCCTCGGCTGTCAGGTCAGGAGAAGGGACCCTAACAGACACAACTTTTTGATGTTTTAACCCTTTAAAGCCAAGTGTACCATACATGAGTTTTTGATACTTCTGCATCATCTGTGAGATA